GCCATGGAAGCTTGGGCCAGTCACACAATCCCAGCCTAACCTACTTCACAGGGTTGATGTGAAGATCAAATGAATGAGGATGAGAATAATGTAAGTTGCTTTGGGTCCCCATTGGTGTATAAATTAATCCTCACAACAGTAACCTTGTGAGGTAGGCTAGGCTGAAAAAGTGTGACTGGCCTATGGTCACCAGCTAGCTTCCATGGCAGAGTGGGGGTTCAAACCAGGGTCCCTCAGGTCCTAGTCTGACACTCTAACCATCATTCATTCATGCATGCATGCATGCAGTCATTCATTCATTCATGAAATCTATACCTTTTAGGCTTTCCGCACACCTATATACTATATACAATAATAGCCACTGAGTGTAAAGAAAGATGCTCCTTCCATGTTTCTTCAAACATCATGGCTCTGCCTCCCCACTGTGCCTACTCACCATCAGAAGGAAATGCCACAACTAGAGCACTAGTATAGCTGGCAGAGAGAAGGGTGTCATCATAGGCTGCAATCTAGACATTTTCCTGGAAGTGAGCCCTATTCAGGGCCAGCTCACCCGCTAGGTGAACTAGGCATTTGCCTAGAGCGCGGGCCGGCCCTTAGGGAGCGGGAGAAGAGGCAGGGGCGGCCTGCAGGAGCCCGGCACGCTCCCGGCACTAGGAGCCGGAGGAGTGCCCTCTCCATGGAGCCAGGCGCAGCAGCGCCCCCTCGAGCCAGCCAGCCAGCGGCATTGTCACGCTGCCAGGAAGCGCCAAGGTCCACCCTCCAAGGCCTCCACTCCACAGCAAGCGGCGGCAGCAGCCTTTCCCCAGATTGCGCTGGGTGGGCGGGCGGGTGCTCCTGGCTGTGCGCAGTGGTGGCAATGGGGCTGGGCGGCCAAAGTGGCAGTGGCGGGGCGTGCTGGATGGGCGGCCACCTCTTGCCACTGCTGCTCGCCCCGATGGTGGTGCTGCTGCTGGGCACCGCAGGTAAGAAGACGGGACTGGGATGGGGCTGGCCGCCAGCATCCCCTCTGCCGCCCTCCCTCCCTCCATGCCAGGCGCCCTGTTGGCTTGGGATCCGCAGTGCTGCCCCAGCGGAGGAGGAGGAGGCGTGACGGGCGTTTCACCAGCAAGGCCCAGGGAGTGGGTGGCAAAGCCGAGCTCCGCCCCGAGGTGCCGTATGCCAGCTGGGAGGTCTCCAGGCTCCACCGGGAGGTTGACATCTGCGCTCGCCTAGGGCGCAGGAACACCTCAGGCCAGCCCTGGCCCCATTAAATAGCATGGGATTTAGTGGACCTGCTTAGGAAGGCTCCCATAACCCACCAACATTTCACATGTGAAAATGGGGATGTGCTTGTAACATTCATCCTTATAACAAGGTGAAGACCTCTGTCTGAGCACACACACCCAGTCCGTCTTCCTAATATGATGCCGAAGATTCTATTCCAGCTACTGTTACTGCATGCTGTGCTGATTTATTTTGCACTTAAGTAATTTAAAAGCAAGGGGGTATTTGTTAGAACATAAAAGAAGCCATGTTGGATCAGGTGAATGACCCATCCAGTCCAACACTCTGTTTCACATGGTGACCAAAAACTAGGTGCCATCAGGAGGTCCACTAGTGGGGCCAGAACTCCAAAAGCCCTCCCACTGTTGCCCCCCAAGCAACAAGAATGCAGAGCATCACTGTCCCAAACATAGTGTTCCATCTATACCTTGTGGCTAATAGCCACTGATGGACCTCTGCTCCATATGTTTATCTAATCCCCTCTTGAAGCTGTCTATGCTTGTAGCCACCACCACTTCCTGCAGATGTGAATTCCACGTTCAGCAGCAGTGCAAAATGCTGCCAGTTCACAGTCAGCTAATGGCAACCCTGTCGAGGCAAGACACAAACAGAGGTGGTTTGCCATTGCCTGCCTCTGCATACCAAAGCTAGATTTCCTGAGTGGTCTCCCATCCAGGTACTAACCAGGGCCAACTCTGCTTAGCTTTCCAAAGCTGATGAGATCAAGCTAGCCTGAGCCATCCAGGTCAGGGATATTTATTCTATGTAATACAGAATTGTAATATACAGCTTTGCAAGATGGCAGGCTGAGCTTGGTGGGTGCTTTAGTGTTAGGACTGACAACCCCAGGTGGTAGCTAGAGATCTCCCACTATTACAACTGATCTCCAGGTGACAAAGGTCAGATTGCTTGAAGGAAATGGCCTCTTTGAAAGGTGGACTCTATGGCATTATACTCCATTGTAGTCCCTCCCCTCCCCAAACTCCACCCTCCTCAGGCTCCACCCCTTAAATGTCCAGGTATTTCCCAACCCAGACCTGGCAACCCCATTTAGTGTTCATGTGCAGGCATTAATATGCATGTGCTCTAAAGAGCCATCCATCTACCCATTTAGAAATGTGACTTCTACAGATTCAGGGGAGGGAACTGAATTCTCAAAAGAAGAACCCCTTGCAGTTCACACTAGCAGGGTAGTAAGGCACATCCCCCATTGATTTATTTTTAAATAGTGGTGATGACATATTTACTCCAGGGCTCTTTTTGTAGCAGGAACTCCTTTGCATGTTAGGCGACACACCCCTAATGTAGCCAATCCTCCAAGAGCTTATAGTAGCCCCTGTAAGAAAAGCTCTGTAAGCTCTTGGAGGATTGGTCCCATTAGGGGTGTGTCGCCTAATATGCAAAGGAGTTTCTGCTACAAAAAGAGCCCTGCTAGGGACAGATACCAGGAAACTGGCACCATCCCTGGCAAACAGGGACTGCTGGAGCATATCAGATAGAAAGAAAAAAAAGGAAGAGGCCAAGCTTTTGATGCACCAACTGATGAGACTCAGTGGGACTAATTTGGGCTGTCCATTAATAAACAGGATTTTGGAGACACAGTCCAATGGGTCGAAAGTTGTCCCTGCTTTCTGTTTCTCCTCCACCGCTGAATAATTTAGCAGCAGGGACAAAGAGAAATCTGCAAGCAAGCATATGGATCCGGGGAGGGGAAAGCTGTTATCTTTGAAGTGGGGTTGATGACTTTTCCTCGGGTTCCCAATCCCACTATGTGGCAGTTTAGGGCCCATCACACTACCCCGGCCTCTGTTGCACACAGTCAGGAGGGTTGCCAGGTCCCTCCTGGCCACCAGTGGGGGATAGGGGGTAGGGTTGCCAGATCCACGATGGGAAAACTCCTGAAGATTTGGAGATGGAGCCTTGGGAGAACAGGGACCTCTCCAAAGCATCCATTTCCTCCAGGGGAGCTGATTTCTATAATCTGGAGATGAGCTGTAATTCCAGGGGATCCCCAGGTCCCACCCGGAGGCTGGCATCCCTACAAGGCTGTCAACTTCCATGTGGGAGCCTGGAGACCCCCCCCCCCGAATTCTAACTGATCTCCACACCACTGAGATCAGTTTCCCTGGAGAAAATGGATGCTTTGGAGGGTGGACTCTGACATTATACCCCTCCCTAGGTTCCACTACCCAAATCTCTAGGGATTTCCCAACACGAAGTTGGCAACCTTAGTTGTCCATCTCTAAAATGGGGACATAAACGGCCTGCTTCTGAGCCTCGCAGTGAAATTTAGTAGAGGCTATAAGGCTTTTCCATTATACTGAAAGTAAAATTCGAAGCAAAAAGCCTCAAGATCCTTTATGACAGTACTGAGTGGAGTGAATAGATGGGCTCCGCATCCATTTTTGCCTTTATATGTTCCTGCTAGGGGAAAAAAAAAATTACACTAGGTAATTTTATCTTGATGTTTTCTACCTTCACCATTCTGGTTGTAATTTAAGCCTGCGTCCTATTGTGCTTGCTTGGATTGCTTGGCCTTATCAAAAGGTAACAAAGCAAAGCAAAGCAAAACACACCCCCAAATCTCAGGATATCCTCCAGCATTAGAATTGTATGTCTAGCAAGGGACTGACTCCCTCTCCCACCAGTGAGATTTTGTTTGCAAACTAAGGATGTTGGGTAACTTTACGAATGTAAATGATTATTTCTTTTCTGGTAGCCTGGCTGATATTTCACTAAGATTTGTTTCACATGGATTTTATTATTATCATGGTTGTTGTTGTTGTTGCTATTTAACAATTTCATTTATCCTCTGCCTATCTTGTTGAGATTCAAAGTGGACGACGGCGTTATTAGACAATGAATGAAAGAGGTGGGGGGGAGGGGGGGGAGAAAAAACCTGCCAACAGTTTTCCAGACAATTAATCCATCACCCAGTTCCCCAAAAGTACCATCCTGAAACACGAAGCTGCTTTGTACTGAATCAAACCATCAGTCCATCACAGTCCCGTGGCTCTTCAGGATCTCAGGTTGAGGTCTTTCACATCACCTCCCGCCTGATCTCAGAGATGCCAGGGATTGATCATGAGACCTTCTGGATGCCAAGCGGCTGCTCTGCCACTGAGCCACAGCCCCTCCCCCATTTAACGATTCCACTTAACTACACCAGATACACCCAACACTCCTGACTAATACACATGCAGTACTCAAGGCATCTGAATTGTCACATATAGAAAAATACAAACAAATGTACCGGGGAGATTCCTCCCTGGGCCAGTGTGTACAAGAAAAGTTCAGGCTTAGCTGTGAATTCCCTAACCTGAGACTTCGTGCAACTTGATACGATTCATTAGTGCTTCATTTCTAAAGGAGAAATGCCGGGTCTCAAGCTTGCCAGGGAGTCATGTGCTTTTCTTTGCAAGCCCCTTCTTGCAAGCTACTCTGAGTTTGTATGGCTGGGGAAGGAACAGCTCTCGGCACACTGGAAATACATTTATGCCACATCTTTCAGGCTTTCCAGCACTTCAAATAGGTCCTGGGGCTTAGCCCTGATGAGCTGTGGTCAATATTATCCCCCCACACGTACACTTCATGCCCCATGTCAGCCTTCCCCCCTCATGGTTCATGTTTCTGAGCTTAGCAATTGTGGCTCAGTATTCATCTTCGTTCTTGCAACACCACACGTCAAAGGTTTCCTTGGCTCTCCTCCCCCACAACAGCACCCCGACCCTTACCTGGAGGGAGTCCTCTTCTCCTAAAATGCTTTCCCCCCCATCAGCTCTTTCCATCAGCAGCATGAACGTTCTTTCCCCCCTCAGTTAAAGGCCATCAAACTTCCAGGCTCCTCCTGCCCTGCTGGGAGTGAGGAGAAGGACGGGGAGGAAAAGGAACATCCCAAAAGGAAGCATTCCAGGGGTGGAGCTTCATTTGAAGGCCGGATTTGAAGGCAACAGCTTGTGTCGCAAGACGCAGAGGCTGGTGGAGGCAGAGAGTGCGGTCTGGGTTGCCCCACCTCAGAAAGTGGAGAGGAGAACTGGAAAAGGGGCAGGGGAGGGGAGCCAAAACCATCAGGGGCAACTTCCCTACTAAGGAAGGTTAGAGGGAGTTGAAGCTTTTGAGTTTTAAGAAAAGATGGAAGAGACTGGGCTGGGTGGTGCAGTTATGCATACAGGGCTGCCAAGATGGGGGGGGGGGAACGAGAGGTACAACCTCCCAGAGGGCCCAGATTACTCCAGGGGCTGCTGGAGGTGTAACGGGGGGGTGGGTTATTAGCAAAATGCCTATTCTGAGCACCTTGTAGGTTTCCCCCCCTGAATGTAGGAGCTCTAAAGAGACAATGTGGTGTAGTAATTAGAGTGTAGGACTAGGATCTGGGAGACCCAGGTTTGAATCCCAACTGTGCCATGGAAGCTTGTTGGGTGATCTTGGGCCAGTCACTGTCTCTCAGACTAAGAAACCGCACAGTATTGTTGTGAGAATAAAATGGAGGAGAAAAGTATCATGTAAGCTGCTTTGAATCTCCCTGGGGAGAAAGGTGGGGTATAAGTGAATGAAAATAAATAAATAAAGCTGGTGTGTTTGGGGGGCAGAGGAAATCTTTACCTGTCAGGGAACATAATGGTTCTTAGGGACGCTGTATGAAGGAGGGAGGGAGGGAGGGAGGGAGGGAGGGAGAAAACATTTTCTTTTGGCATGATACTGTAACTCAGAGTCACTCCATGAAACCAAAGGGCAGACAAACATCTTCCTCATCACATCACACAGAATTTGCTACCATGGGACACACCAATGGCCATTGGCTTTTTCTTGTTTAGTCACACAGTCAAGTCCAACTCTTTGCGACCCCATGAACCACATCATGCCAGGCCCTCCTGTCTTTAGCCGTCCTCCAGAGTATGCCTAATTTCGTGTTCATTGCATCGATAACACTGTCTAACTGCGTCATCCTTTGCCGTCCCCTTCTTCTTTGACCTTCAGTCTTTCCCAGCATCAGGGTCTTCTCCAGTAAATACTCCCTTCTCATTTGGTGGCCAAAGTATTTGAACTTCAACTTCAGTATCTGGCTTTCCAGGGAACAGTTGGGGTTGATTTCTTTTAGGACTGATGGATTTGATCTCCTTGCAGTCCAAGGGACTCTCAAGTCTTCTCCAGCACCATAATTCCAAAGAATCTATTCTCCGGCGCTCGGCCTTCTTTATTACCCAACTCTCGCAGCCATACATTACTACTGGGAATACCATTGCTTTGACCATACGGAGTTTTGTTGGCAGGGTGATGTCTCTACTTTTTATTATGCTGTCTAGGTTTGCCATCACTTTCCTCCCAAGGAGCAGGCGTCTTCTAATTTCAGGGCTGCAGTCACTGTCTGCAGTGATCTTGGATCCCAGGAACGTGAAGTCTGTCACTGCTTCCATGACTTCCCCTTATATTTGCCAAGAAGTGATGGGGCTGGATGCCATGATTTTAGTTTTTTTGATGTTGAGTTTCAAGCCAACTTTTGCACTCTCCTCTTTCACTCTGAGCAAGAGGCTCTTTTAGTCCTCTTCACTTTCTGCCATTAGAGTGGTATCGTCTGCATATCTGAGGTTGTTGATCTTTTCCCCAGCAATCTTAATTTCAGCTTGTGACTCATCCAGGCTGGCATTTTGCATGATGCACTCTGCATATAAATTAATAAGCAGGGTGACAATATACATCCTTATCGTACTTCTTTCTCTATGCTAAACCAATCAGTTGTTCCATATCCGGTTCTAACTGTCGCTTCTTGACCCTTATTACAGGTTTCTCATGAGACATGTCAGGTGGTCTGGTACTCCCATCTCTTTAAGGACTTGCCACAGTTTGTTGTGATCCACACAATCAGAGGCTTTAGTGTAGTCAATGAAGTAGAAGTAGATGTTTTTCTGGTACTCTCTTGCTTTCTCCATAATGCACCGAATGTTGGCAATTTGATCTCTAGTTCCTCTACCTCTTCAAAACCCAGCTTGTACTTCTGGCAGTTCTCTTTCCACGTACTGTTGAAGCCTAGCATGTAGGATCTTGAGCATGACCTTGCTATTATTATTTATTATTATTTCAACTTGATATACCGCCCTAACCCCCGTAGGGGTCTCTGGGCGGTTTACATTTTTGGGTGCTAGTCACATATTTGAATCCTAACTAAGGCCACATAAGTTCAATGGAAGGGGCTGCCTACCGGCACCCTGGTGGAGGCTGGTGTCATTCTTTCGGCTCGGTTCCCTTTCCCGGCTGCGAGATGTTCTAGCGCTTAGGCAGTCAGGCAGATGGTTCACAGGCGACGTCCTCCTCGGCCTGACTACGTCCTTCTGGCTCTGTGCGCCTCTGGATGACATCACCGCGCCTCCGTCCTCTGCCGACGACAGCCGCCTTGCTCTTTCTGCTGCTGGCCACCAGGGATCAGCCCCCCCTCCGGCTCTGCTGCCGCCGCTCGCTGCCTTCAGCACCATGC